TCTCCGACTCACGCAGAAGGAACGAGGTGGAAGAGTGAAGAACTGGTAGTTTTAATATGTTAGACGTTGAGATCTTAGTGATCTAAGACTACCAGTTCTTTACTCTTCCACCTCGTTCCTTCTGCGTGGACGAGTTCTTTATCATCATGAAATTAATACAATCCTAACTATTTTATTACTAAACAACAATTTGGTTGAAAAGGATTGTTAATACGTCTTCCACATCTTTTATTCTATGTAATTATTGTAAGCAAATTTTACTTTGTAATATTGTACACTGAAGAAGGCCTGATGTCAGGCAGAAACGTTTGTAAACAATTTTAAATCGATTTCCTCATCTTAATTTTCCATCTTAATTTTCTTGGTGTACGAACTCAAACTAGTAGAATAATCAAGCTTTGAATTAGGAAACATACCAAGCCTTAAATGGCGCCTCAAAGATCACGCCATTTTCTAAAACAAATATCAAAAAATTGCCAACAATATCATATAATATAGTGTAGAGCAACTTATTTGATTCAGTTAATTTAAATTCAACTTCTTCGTAAGTATTGGAGATGTATTCAAATTGGTACAAGTCCTTTTCAATATTCTATCATAGCAATCTCTGAATGAGAAAGAATTCTCAAAAAGTTGCATGTTTATATGTGGAATATTCTCGTTATTATCCTGTGACAACAAATATTGATTTCAGACGTTAAAATGATATATACAAGACAAAATATTTTATACAACTAGGTTAATTCAATAGTTTACTTACTGGTTCAATATTATTTGAACTTATCCTTTTTAGAATGTTCTCAAGCCTCAAACGCTTGTTCTCATTACTGACATTGATTTTCTCTTGTGTTATCCACTTTTTATCGTTGTTATCCTATGACAACAAATATTGATTTTAGACGTTACAGTGATATGTTTAAGACAAAATATTTCATTCCACTAGTTTAATTCAATAGTTTACTTACTTCAATATGAATACAACTGTCAACGATTCCAAGACTTACAGTTATATATTTTAGAATATTCTGAAGCCTCAAATAGTTGTTCTCATTAATGGCATTGATTTCCTCCTCTTGTCTCATAGACTTTTTATCATTCTTTTCCTATAATAACGAATATTAATTTCAGACATTACAATGATACATTTAAGACAAAATATTTTATTCCACTAGTTTAATTCAATATAGTTAACTTACTGGTTCAATAATAATGTAACTATCATCCTTTTTAAGATGATGAAGATGATTTGAACTTATCCTTTTTATAACATGCTCAAGTCTCAAACATTTTGCATTGATTTTCTTCTCTTGTCTTATCGCCTTCTCATATTTTTCAAAGTTACTTCTCAAATAGTTTTCATTCTCTACAGATACGTTATTACAATCACGTTGCATATTCGCAACAAATTGATTTTGTAGCGATATCTTCTCAGTTATACAGCTATTTAATTTTCCTTCTAATTTCCTAAAAATATCAAAATAATATAATGTAGGATGATTAAAAAAAATAATGATTTAAGTTTAAACATTTCAATCATTGCCTACTTTCGTTTAATATGTTCTTCTTCTGAAACTTCACTCTTCTTGTAAGATTCTATTAATTTGTGCTTTAAGGACTTAATCGTTAATTGAAGCAGCTTTCTCTTGGTAAAATGAGTTGTTATTTCTCTGGCAAATGTAATAATTAAAATAGTTGTACTAATTATATCATGATTATTCCATATATATCAAATGCATATGTGTATAAATACTTACCTTTTTAATACTTTGATATATGTTAAAAGCTCTGTACGATCAGTTGTTCTGTATAATATTTCATCCATTTCGCTTTCAGAACCCTCCAATATAACTTGCAAACTATAAGATGTATAAAATTAATAATAAATAACTGCATGATTAAATATGACCATAAATATTACATACATATTTCTCAAATCTATAACAAAATAAATTTAGAAAAAAGCATACTTCTGTAAATTTTTAACTTTTTCCCTTAGTTCTTTATAACCTTTCTTATATGTACTTAGGTGTGCACATTGCTGTTTATAAAACCCCATCTGTCTTTGAAAAGTATAAATTGCAGCTTGCTTGGTGATTAATTCCATTTCAGCATTTTTTAATGCTTGTCTTAAATCACTCGTCTGTTTTTCTAATTGCTTTTTATTCTCTGTAAGATTATTGATTACATTCTCCTTCAACTTTACTTCGAAAAGTATATCATTAAGTTTATCCTCTAAAGATGAGACATCTGTAAGATTACTGTCATCAGAAAAATTTAAATATATTCTGTGTATCGTATGTTCTGTTGTGCTTTCGCGGCATTGTGGACAAGTCTCTGACCTATAAAAACAATGTTTAATAAGATTAGATCCTGCACATGTATAAATAATGGATGGACTTTCAAGTAATTTTAGAATATTAATTTTTTTTACAATTAAGAAATTACCTTTCAAGCCATGTTAATAAGCAGCCATAATGGAAAGTGTGACCACATGGTGTATTAGAAACATCATCTAACGATCGGAAATCCTCGGTACAGATCGCACACAGTATATGCATTTTATACTATTTTGTCACTCAGAAATTTCAGCGAAAACCCAGTTAATGCAATAATTATGAATGAAAATGTACACCGTAATAGATGACCGTTACAAATTTCGCAGTAACGATGCTGTAGTTATATTTTGGTGAAATTAGTTATATTATAGTGAACATTACAGACTGTGGGTTTCTTGTCGACATTATAAAACAGAAATAATAAATATATATATATATATATATATATATAAACAAAACGAAGTTCAGTGAAAATAGTGTGATAGGTTATACTGCCTGCGATCACTAACGAGGAATGGCGTGAAATAACCACTACAACGTGGAACATTGAAATATGGAAATATATACGACCAGTGTAGTTAGATTTGACTTGGTTTTTCGCGCATGCGCGACGCGGCGAACGCAGTGAAGTGTTTTAGTCATAGACATAGGAATAAGGAGACGGAGTGTAAGGCCGGCGTCACATAGAACCCGTAATCCGTAATCCGCACCGAAAGTCCGCAAAAGTTACTAGGGATTGCGTTCGTAACGTTACGTGTGTTTTATCTCCTTGTGTCCCATGGAGCCGTAATTCCATGAAATTTCCGTAAAAGTTACTAAAAGTTACTAGTTATTACTAGTAATGTCTTTTTAATTTTATTTATTTAACTAAATTTGACGATTTAATTAAAATTTTGTTAAAATTATAATATATTCTGTAGTTTTCTTATGAATAAAATACAAATAAACAATTATAATTTGTTAAATAAAAAATAGTAATACCGTTACGTGTGTATTTACGGCTCCATGGGACACAAGGAGAAAAAACATACGTAACGTTACGGACGCAATCCCTAGTAACTTTTGCGGACTTCCGGTGCGGATTACGGATTACGGGTTCTATGTGACGCCAGCCTAAGCCGCGGGGGGTGAAGCCGCTTTCGGAGAGCGGGGACTACGGTCACATGGTACCACGGTGTAAGAATATAAGGTGATTTCACGACCATTGTATTTTATCAAAAAATCTGTGATCAAGATGTCATAGTTAAGCCATGTCACACAAGATGTCACGTTGGTACAAGATCCCAAGTAAAAAAGGATAGAAGATGTGGATAAATGTGGATAGAAAAGGATAGATGATGAATCTCTAAAGCACATCTATATATAATTATAGTCCTAAATAATACAAATTTTTTAAAATAAACTTTTAACATCGTGTATAAAAATATATATTACTGACAAAATATTTTTTTATTTTTTATAACAAATTATTCTTAGTTAAATTTGCAGAAAAAAATAATTAATAATGTATTCCAGTCTTTATAGAAAATTAAGTTTCTTTAAGAAAATGAATATTTATAATTAAGTTCCGCAGGACAATAAATTTAATAAAATTTTATATTTGTATATATATATATATATTCATATTTAAAGTCCCTCAACACGTAGCCACCTAGCGGTTCAATGTGGAACAATAACAGGAAAATCACAAAAATTTGTTGCCGTCAAATCACCTTATATTCTTACACCGTGCATGGTACTTTGGTGCCGCATTTATGCTACAACTAATGGCTTAGTTTACACCGATTGTTTAGTACGCGACCAAGTACTAAATCAGCTTCTTTGATTGGTGTAGATTTTACACTAAACAATTTATACCTATCGCAGAAGCAGATTTAGTATTTGGTACGCGTACTAAACAATCGGTGTAAACTAAGCCAATGCCAATGTGGCACCAAAATATCACGTGACTGCTATTCCCCGCACCGCGGAACTGGCTTCACTCCCCTCGCCTAAAGTAAGATTTTATGCTCTGTCTCCTTATTCCTATGTCTATGGTTTTAGTCTAGTAAAAGAGTATACCATATGGTACCCATTTATTTAAAAAAATTATTATTTTCTGAAAAATCAATAAAAAAATAAAGTATATTTACATATATTTATATTTTCATATACATATACATATACATATAAATATATGTAAATATATTTAATTTTTTTATTGATTTTTCAGAAAATAATAATTTTTAAAATGAACGGGTACCACGGTGTAAGAATATAAGGTGATTTCACGGCAACAAATTTTTGTGATTTTCCCATTGAGTAAAAAGAAACAGGAGGGAGCGTTTGGTCGTAAAAGTGCGGACGGAAGTGACTATATAAAGGCTGAGTTCCACTTGGTGATCGCAACGCTCGCGAACATTATCTATCTTTCTTTAACTTTCGATGAAAAACAAAGATAAAATGATTCCACAAGCGTTGCGATCGCCAAGTGGAACGTACCTAAAGTGGTCGCTCAAGATGGCCGCTCAAGGGCGCCAATATTGAATGACTTGTTATGTTTAATTAGGAAATAATGTACAATTAAAAGAAAATAACTATAATATGCAACAATAATACCAAATTTTAATGGCGTTTTTCATTGGGATTGCACTCGTGCAGTATTTCCATAAGAGCAATGTTAAAATCTAAAATCTAAATTTATATTAAATCCTTCGTCCTTACAAAAATTTATCCATGCATTTCTTTAATCCGGATTTTCGGAAACCTGTTTGTGAGTGAAAATTATTTAGTAATTATTGTGAATC